ACATCCAAAAGTCTGAAGAAGTTGGTCGTGTGCTTGAATGGCAGTTGCAACAATTTATTCAACAATTCCGGTCCTCCGCTTCACATTCCAAGGTTGTGTCGTTTCTTTTCATTCTTTTTGTTTATGTCTTTTCTTTTCTTTTCACTTGGTTGTCTTGCCTTTTGTGTTTTATACATTGAGGGCAATGTATACTTTAAGTGTGGGGGAGAGGAATATTTGTGTTTTGTGTTTATCTTTCTTAAATAAAAAACCCATAAAAATTGAAAAAAAAATTGAAAAAAATTCAAAAAGGCCTATAGCATGAAGTTGGTTTGATTATCTATAGCATGTAAGAATTAGACTATTTTGAATTGTATTACTTAACTTATGTATTGCTGTATGTTGCTTTGAATACCCTGTTTCTTTTGCACTTAGTCGTGACTGTGGGATAAGCCTAAAGTGAGATATAGTTGCATGAGTTTGATGTAGGTATGCCATGAAAAGTTGTTTGATTCACTCATACTTATATGATTTGTATGTGGAACCCATCATGTTGTGAAGGAAAAGCAAGGCATTAACCCAATATCAGCCTTAAAAAACCTTATTGCTTTGACACTTTGTGTTAAGTAAGTTTGGGGGAGGGGTGTTGGCGGATGCTTCTGAGATTAGGTAAATTTTAATGAGGGAGAAAAGGAAGAGCATTCAATGTTGATGCTAGCCCTTTGAGAGGTGAGGAATTGGCAACCTGAGCGGAGAGTCCTCAGGCCCGGTGAGGAAAAATAGATATGTAGACTGCCCTAAGTTGCTGAGCCACTATGTATAGAAGTGGAAAAATGCTCTGGGTAGTGGCCTGAGTTGGAAAGAGTCCTGAAGAAAAGCCGCATGGACCGAAGAATGGGTTACGAAGGGGAATAGGTTGTCTGTGAGATAAGTCCTTCTACTTCATAGCATGTCTGGTGGTCCATTGCATTGAAATATGATATGAAATGTGAGTCTGTTGTTAAAGTAAAATGGCATATTTGCATTAGAGCTTTTGTTTTCTATGTTAAATGTAAAGTGATGTCCCTAAGAAACGAAGCACACACACACAAGCGTGGGGGCTAAACGTAGCTATGTTTTGCATTGTTAGGTAGTCCATACTAGAGGTAGTCGAAAACTTTGTGTTATATGATGTGATTGAATCTCTGAGGCCGCCAAATTAAATAATTAAATGTTTTTTGTTTGTTTAATGTTTGGGATTGCTTGAGGACAAGCAATAATTCAAGTTTGGGGGTATTTGATATGCTTATATTTTACCTATTTATTATATCTCTAATTTGTGATTTTTGCAATATATTTTGAGTACAAATATGCTATTTATGTGATTTTGTCTTTAATTGTAGGAGTTGTACTCAAATGAAGAATTGTTGAAGTTTTGAGCTAAAATCGAATTAAAAGCAAGCAACTCAATGGGAAAGAATTGAAGATTGGAGCAATTGATGGGGAAGAAATTAATGAGTTTAGAGAATTGGAGGGCCGATGATGCAATTTTGGAATTTTATTTTAGTTTTTGGAAATTGGCCGAACAAACGATGATGGTGCGGCTGATTTGGGATTGGAATTGGATAAGAATTTTAATCCCGATATTATTTGGGAAACAAGTTTTCTTGCTCTCCAAGAAGTAGGGTTTTGACGGAAGCCTATAAAAGGAGGATTAAGGATTTATTTTTACAACAGAACTAGACCGAAAACTGACCGAAACCTCGCGGCTGAAAATTATCCCTGCCGACCTCCACCTAGCTTCCATAAAAACCGGCAGCCACTCCGCCGCTGCAAATCTTCTTCTCATCCACGCAGCACCATCTCTACCACCTCTCCATCTCTCTCTCTAATCATCATTATCCACGCATCATCACCATCATCAACTCTCCATCACCTTCATCACTAAACCCCAGCCCAAACTCCCCCAAACTTGCGGCAGCCACCTTCCCTCCCCCTCCCTTCACCACCTTGCTTCTCCTCCCAGCTCCACGCCACCGAAGCCTCCAACACCAGTTCATCATCATTTTCCTTGCCTTCGCACCCAGCGGCAGCATCAACACCGGCAGAGTCACGCATCGTCAAAAGCTTCTTCACCACCAGCCGCAAAGCTAGCACCGTCGGGGAGTTTTTGGCTTCATTCGGGTTTTGGAAGTTTTAATTATTTAATTTATTTATTTTTTTATTATGTCTCTAAATATTGTTGAATTAATTTCAATAATGTTTAGTGGCTAAATTCTTTTAATCTAGGGCTTGGGTGTAGCCACCGAATTTATTTGGTTTATTTAGTTCATTATTATTTGATTTTTCCATTAATTAATATTTGTTATTCTTGTTTTAATTCGTGTAAGTAATTGGCCACTATTTACATGTCTGAAGATACTAATCGAAGTAGCGAGAGTGGAAGATTAGTATTAGTTCGTAGGAATAATAAACTTAAGGTGTAAGCTACGAGAGTAAGATTATAACCTTTGCAATATTTGATTCTTAATGATCTTAATGTACTTTTGTTAATCCCTATAGTCACGAGAGTAGTCATAGGGTTAATATAAGTAAGAGAATTATAACTCGAGAGTGTATAGTTCTTAATTAGGTGAATTGTTGTGAGATTAATGGAGGTTAAAAGTCAGATATTTGTGAATTGAACTAAACCAAATATTCGGTAGGTGAACCCAATGTCCTAGGTTTTCTTGGTTTGATTATTTGAATTAATATTAATTGCTTTTATTTTATTTATTTATTTTAGTTTTAAATTTTATAAATCTGAGATCCTCATTTATCTAGATAATAATAAGAGTAATTTATACTTGGTAATTAGTATTCCTTCTCTGTTGGATCGACCCTGCTTGCTACTTTACTACTTGTAATTGTATTAAGTAGGTAATTATTATTTGACTAGTGTAACGACGGCTTGTCATAATGTAATGTTTAAGCTGTACTAAAAATTATATATACCCAAAAAATGTAATATACCAGAGAAAAAAGTACTCTTTCTGTCATATCTTAAGTTCAAAATTAATTAATTTTTGAATACAAGATATATATATATATATATATTTATGTGTGTGTAAGCATTATCATTCTATTTTTCACTCAAAATAAATAAATTTTTTTGGAAAGTTTCTTTAAGATTTATCAAAAAATTTAGATGAATATGATTATAAAATAAATTAGATTCATTACAAATAAATTAAAGTTTTTAGTTTCTCTATTTATAAATGTTGTTTTTGTTTCAATAAACTAAAAAAATTTAAAAAATTCAAATAAACAGAAGTAAAAAATGTTAAATATGGGATCCAAATGATTACCTATTATACCAGGTCACTTTTGTTGGTTTGCAGGTCATGAGATGGATCTGCTCAATTTTGATAACCTTGGGACGTAATCACCAATTCTAAAACTTTGGAATGAATTTGCTAACAGGGTATAAACATTGAGATTTATACACTATTAATATTCCCTATCAACTAATTTAACTTGTGACAAGAAATTAATCAATATATATGTTATAGTAGGAGTATTGTAAAAGGTTTATATTGATTTTTCAACGGTATCACGTGGGAATACGAATCTAATATGGATTCCAACATATAGGGTATTTTCTAGATCCCTATACCATCGCTCCTTTGCGATTAAAATCGCTTCCCCCCATATTAAAATCATTCCTTTGCGATTTCAACAATCCCGAAACCCTAACTTGAAAAAATTCGGCCGAATTCTAATTAGGGGTGTCAGTTAGTCGGGTGAACCCGATAACCCGTCCGAACTGAACCAACTTCGGGTGAAACGGTTCAGTTAATTGGGTGAATTTGGGTTTATACGGGTTCGCCCGATCTATCGAGTGTTAACTTGGTCCGGGTGCGGGCGGGATCAAAATTATTCGGGGACCGCCCGAAAATCCGAAATACACCTTTTTTTTAAAAAAATAATTTTGTAAATGATAGTAATAATATATTTATTACTAGGGTTTGTTTATTTGTTGGTGGGATTTCTTTTTGTCGTTCCCAAGTCAAAACTCAAAACAAAAACATCCCATGCCCTCCCTCAATTCTTTCGTCCAACTCCTCTTGTAGCGCCGCCCATCCCCCGTCGCACCAACCTGGCTCCTCTTTCTTTTTTCGCTCTCCTCCCTCAATTCTGTCATCCAAATCCCCCTCTATAGCCGCCGTCCGCATCAACCATGGCTCCTCCCTCTTTTTTCTCTCTCTCTTTCTCAGACCGAATACTCCTCTTTTTTGTTGTCATGGTTTTTTCAAAAATACAATCTCAAATCAGATTTCAGCACCAATTTTAATATTCCAGTGACTGTCAACGGGTAAGGGTTTTCTTTTTCTTCATTTTTTATCCCATATATCTCTTTATTCTCAAATTAAACTTGAATCTTATTTGTAAAAGTCAATTTTATTTGTAGATCTGGAAGATATAATATCCGCCCGAATCAATAGTCGATTTCAAGAGGATGAAAAGTTTCTTTGCACCTATTTATTTGTTTTTTTTTATGAAAGAATGTGTATTCAAATTTCATGAAATCGAATTATTTAAGTTTAGATCTGTATTGTTATGAGAGAATTCATCTTCTTCTTTCTGTATTTTTTGGGAAAAAAAAGTGTCCAAAATGTTCTATGAAAATTGTATTGTGCGAGTGAATGACACCCGAACCGATTAACCCGAAAATTTATTCGGTTGGTTTGGTTCGGTGTTACATATTTTTTGGTTCGGTTTCGGGCGGGTCTGTTAATAGGAAAAACCAATTAACCTAAGCCGAAATCACCCGAACCGACCGAACCCGCCCGAGTTGACAGCCCTAATCTTAATCTGAATTTGGGCAGGATACCATTATCATCGTTTCACTTAAAATATCTTAGAATTTTCAATCGGCCTGCGTTGAATTCAATCGACGATCCCTGGGTACAAAATTTTCCACTGGCATCGATTTGATTTTCTTCTGCTTCTTTCTTCTTGTTCTTGAGTGAAGATGGAAGAATTTCAGAAGGGTTGTAAAGATGGTGTTAGTAGAATTAGGTTCAAGCCTATCGCGAGCTCTTCAGAAGATGAACAATTCGACAATCGTCGACGAAAAAGTCCTCGCCGATTGCCTGAACGATATCACAAGGCCACTCCTTCAATCCGATGTTCAATTCAAGCTAATCTCTGAGATGCAATCGAACATCAAGAAAATAGTGAATCCTGAGGAGCTCGCCGCCGGCCACAACAAACGGAAAATCATCAGGAAGCCGTTTTTAACGAGCTCTGCAAGATGTTGGATCCGGGAAAACCCGCATTCGCCCCGAAGAAAGGCAAAACCAGCATCGTAATGCTCGTCGGGTTGCAAGGATCCGGTAAAATGACGACGTGTACAAAGTACGCGTCTTACTACTAGAAGAAAGGGTGGAAACCCGCATTGGTCTGTGCGGATACCTTCCGGACTGGGGCTTTTGATCAGCTGAAATAGAACGCCACCAAGGCGAAAATCCCGTTTTTTTGGGAGCTAAACGGAGTCGGATCCTGTTAAGATTGCGGCTGAGGGAGTGGAGAGGTTTAAGAAGGAAAACTGTGACCTTATAATTGTCAATACGAGTGGCCGTCACAGACAGGAAGCGTCTCTTTTCGAAGAGATGCGACAGGTCTGCGAGGCCACGAAATCGAACCTTGTGATCTTTGTTATGGACAGTAGTATCGGACATGCCGCTTTCGATCAGGCTCGTGCTTTTAAAGAGAGTGTAGCTATTGGATCCATGATTGTTACTAAAATGGATGGCCACGCCAGGGGAGGCGGCGCGCTCAGTGCTATCGCGGCCACAAAAAGTCCGGTCATATTCATTGGTACAGGGGAGCACATGGACGAGTTTCAGGTTTTCGACGTGAAGCCGTTTGTGAGTAGGTTGTTAGGGAAGGGGGATTTGTCTGGATTTATGGAAAAAAAATCCAGCAAGTTGTTCCAGTGGATCAAAATCCAGCTGAGCTGCTTCAACAGCTTTCGGAAGGAAGTATCACATTGAGGTTGATGTATGAGATGTATCAAAACTAGCTTAAGATGGGTCCAATGGGACAGGATTTCTCAATGCTTCTAGGATTCAACTCAGAGTTGATATCCAAAAGCAATGAGAGAGAAGTGCAGGCCAAGATGAAACGTCACATGATTATAATGGACTCAATGACTAAAGAGGAATTGGATAGCACCAATCTACCAAGTTAATCACCGAGACACGGATCATGAGGATCACAAGGGGGTCTGGTCGTCAGGTGAGTGATGTGATGGAATTGCTTGAAGACTACAAGCATGTGGCAAAGGCGTGCACCAACATGAAGAAAGGACTCAAGATTCCGAAGAAGGGAGGTATAAATCCTCGGAATCTGAACCCTCAGAATCTGAGCCAAGCTCTTCCACCTCAGGCGCTGCAGCAGACGGGCAGCATCGGGGCATACAAAACTTGATGAGGCAGATGGGCAACATGGGTTCAACTAAGGATTTGATGAGTATGTTTGGAAGCAAGGATAAGTGAAGTATACAAACCACTGAGACTTCTTAATAAATAGTGTTTAATTACATCTAGATTGCTTACATTATAGTAGTAAAGTGAGCAAGTTGAGTTCCAATGCTTTCAAAGAAAAAGCTTTACTTCAAATCGAAGTCTGGCCCTAAGGCTAGTCTCCCCTGATAATGCCAGCCATTCACAGAGATGCAAGTTTGGTGAAACGGGGTGAGATCAACTTAAATTTTTCATGTCACATTTACCGGCCCTTGTATAACCAGAGTTCGCATAGGACTCTCCCTTTCCTGAACAGGCAATGAACAGGCAGCAAAAGCAAAGCCAACGCAATACTAACAACAAAAACATTTCATTGAGACATGGTAGTATAGTTTTCAAAAGATAGAAATCCTATAACAGACTGGGAGGAATGTAATGTCATCATTGGCTTAGAAGGGCACGAACTCTCGGATGCTTTCTAAGCCAGAGGTTGATTTTCGTAGTTTTCAAGCTTTGACTTTTCCCTGCCCAGAACCAACTTCACAAGCACACTAGGAAAAACAACCATTTCCTGTTTGGAGATTAAATCTAATGCATTCAATAAGTTAGATGGATCCAAAGCAAGTCCTTTCTTATCCATTTCTTCAAGATAAACTGCAACATCATCATATCTGCCTCCCTTGAGAAATCCTCGGATGATAACATTTTAGGTAACCATATTTGCCAAACAACCATTTTTTTTTCCATTTGGTCAAAAAGCTCTTTTGCTTCCAACAAACTTTGCATGCACAGGCCACTGATCATCATGTTATACGTTGTAACATCAGGATCAAATCCTTTAACAAGTAACTGTTAAACATATCCCTTGCTAATTCTACTCCATCCATTTCTATCTTCTGCAATAACGTCAATGCCTCATCATTATGGCCTGTCTTGCAAAGACCATCTAGCATTACTCAGTAAGAGTAGAAATTAAGCTTCAAGGCACCAACTTGCATCTCACTAAAAATTTATTTTGCAACATAGTTGCCCGGTTGAAACAATCCCTTCAAGAGAAGGTTTTAAGTTCCCTTTAAAGGAATTTAGCCCAAATTTTGAATTTCATGGAGCATATGCCCTCAAAGTTACTTCCATCAAAGTACGCTTGCATCGAAATATTGTAGGAGATCATGTCAGGAAGGAGACCATCAGCGAGTATGACATCAAACACTCTTCTTGCATCATCAATTTGGCTTAGTGAACGGTATCCATCCATCAACATATTGTATGTGACTACCTCAGAAGTCTCAGCTTTCTTAACCATGACTGCAAGAAAAACATTCGCATCTTTCATCAATCCATTCTAGGAACAAGAATCTATCAAGATATTGTAAGTCACTACAGTTGGAGAAGTACCAAAACTAATCTCAGTCAAACAATATTTTGCCTCATTCCATTTTTCTAAATTACAAAAGCCCTGACATAAGCTACTGTACGCCACAATATCTGGAGCAATGCCCATATCAATCATCCCGTGCCAAAGACAAAGAGCTAGATCAACCATTTTATCCTTGCACAGTGCATCAATACGGGTGCTGTAGATGACCACATCAGATTTAATATCTCTGTTTTAAGGAGTTCAACAGCCGTTCTGTATTTCCAGCTTTAGACAACCCATCAATCACAATTCCAAATGTCACCTTGTTGGGTTCACACAAATTTATAAATCCATTAAGTGTAGTGTTAAAGCTGACCACATCAGGCACAAGCCCACTCTTGAATAAGGTTGCCAAAAGAGAGAACCCCAAATCAACTCGACCATCTAAGCAGTAAGAGTTAACGACTGTACTCATCAACAGGAACACCATCAACACACATTTTTCTGTAAAGGGAAATCACAGCCCAATAATTCTTCATCCAAACAATGCGCTCAAGCAATTGAGTAAACAGAATCACACCAGGTAAAGGTTTCATTCGGACCATTTGATCATACAAAGTTACAGCATCCTCAAGATTGTTGATATTACTAATGTAATTCCTCAACCACCCATGCCTATATTTATCAGGTATGACTTAGACCTCTCACCACTAGAATAAAAGCCAAGTGCAAAATCAAGATAGGGATTTGGGAGATGAGAATGATATTTAAGAGATCTTACATGAGCAGAAACACTAAGTTATGGAACAGGACGAAGACATTGGTAATGATTTGAGTATGTGACATAGCACAATCAAAGCAACTCCATAACCAGTACTTCTTCCTTTTGTCATGGTGAATTCTGAGATGGCAATGGGAGCATAATTAAACCCGGCCATCGTGACATAGAAAGCCCTAGTTTCAAATCTGAACGAAAATCAAAATGAACCAAAACGACGGTTGAAAACAGATAAAACTCACCAATTCCACAAGCATTTGTTGCAGAGCCGAACCAGAATGGTATTCCTTTTCCTATGATTCAAATCTGAGAGAAGAGATCTTCTCGAAATAGAAAGATAGTCCACAACTCGGAAGCCAGAACAAGAAAGCCTTCAAGATCGTAGAAGGAGAAGGCGGAAGAAAAACCGTGCCGGCAGAGAAGATGGGAGACGTTTTTCGTTGCACTGGACTATATATCTTTTGTATGGTGGAAATTTTGCTAATACAGCCCTTTTATTTAAGTTTAATTGCGTTGACCACCCCGAACGTTTGTAATAAAAGTAGTAATAGAATTTGCTCACAAAAAATTTGTTAAATCTACTAAAAAAAACCCTTTTACCATTAGAAACTGTCTGTTGGAAAATGTAAGCGAAAACAACAATTGAATATTTTACTTTATAAGCCGTAGTAGTCAAATTGAAATGCATAGAGCATAAAATTTTAAACTTAGTACGTACCATCAAAATATTAGTCTAATCACAAGATTACAACTATAGATTCAAATTTGTTAAGACTGGTATGAAAGCACTGCGTCTACTTCTTACTTCTTTAACTGATGATGCGATGTTGTGTATCTACACAATATAAAATGAACACTCAAAACTCGCTATCTACATTCTACACAATGTACGTAATAAATAAGAGCTCAAGAAAAGTTAGCATAGTTAACTTGTGTTTGATCATATCTCTAAATTTCTCATTGTGTAATTGGTCACACACTTATTTAATCAAACTAGTTGATCTGTAGTGCGATCGTTCCATTTGACTATTTATCTTCTCTTTCCAAGGCGGCGCGATATATGTATTGATTAGGCTACATATGTGAGTAGGCATAAATTAGAATCAGTGGCCTTCATTTTGATTTTCTATGCTTTTTGACGATGTTTGGTTACGCGCCGTCGGTCTAACGGTGGAACTCCGGCTAGGGTTTCTTGCAAAACATGGCCTCGGGGTCTCTCGAGAGTGGACACTCCAATGCTTAAGTTAATAAAAGGGTTACTGGAAGGTTTAGGTATGTAGTCTGTTAAGCTATAGATTGCGTACCTTTATTGTGGCGTGAGCTATCCTATTTATAGGTATGAGAATACCTTAATCATCCCCGAATCCTATTAGGTTTCAAGAACCTAAACCGCCTCAAGAGTCCCGGTTGGACTCTTTCTCTGGTTGGTGGGCCGGTCCAGTCTTGATGATGGATATGGACTCGCCAAGTGCCCCTGCCAAGTGTTAGTTGCATAAAGATAAACAACGCTTGGCACAAGGTAGGTGTTACCTGGGACACACCGAGAGTGGACGGGCTACTCTTGTTCAGCTAATCACCGAGCAATATGTCGAGCAACCTCGATGCAAACGCCCAACTCTCGATCTTGGAAAACCGAGGGTAACTAGCGGGTTAGATCTTGACCCGGGAAGGCGACTCGCTTCCTAATCCCGCCCAAAATTTCAACCGCATGTTATTAGTGGGCACGTTCGCCAAACGGCAGCCTCACCATTATTACTTCCTTGAAATCCGTATTAACTGTCATATCGTGGTCTGTAATTAGAGAAACGTGGGAGAATAAATTTTATTTTTAAGGAGAAGGCTCTACCATCCCCTGTTACTCATCAATTTTCTTCTTCGCAAAAAATCCAAAATTCTCCTCTCCGTCAGAGCATTCCAATCACCTCTGCTGGAATATTCAAGCCTCTACCAGAGATACTGCCCCAGCGACGTTGTTTCCAGGGGATTTGCTATCAAGATTCGGGAAGAACGCTGGGAAGTTACAACTCAAAAGGCGAGTGATCATATCCTCCTCTAACAGTAAGTTTCCAGATCTAAATCCCCGGTTCCGTTCCAAGTTTTTGTCTTTTCCAATTGTAGCCAGAGTAGATTTGTACCGGAATTATGATTAGGGATTCCGAAGGAAAAACTGTCGATGACTTTGTATCCACCATAGATTATGTCGATAAGGTAGAGAACCTTAGATCCAAATACGACCTTCCTTCAGCCCTAGAGGCAAGAGACCCGTTAGGAAACGAGAGGGCTAACTCTCCTCCAAGGGGAAGAATTACTGTGTATGATTGATTCATGCACCTAGGGCTTAGATTCCCACTCTTCTCCCTGTTTGAGGAAATTGTGCAACACTATAGGACACCCCTTGCTCGTTTTACCCCAAATTTAATAACGTTTGTACTGGGGTTTGCAAGAGATTGAGAACTTGGCACCAAGAAGAAGAAAGTAAATTAGGTTCAGATCAGATGGGTCTGATAATAATATACACATGAAAATCACAGGAAGATCATCTCTTAAAAGTACTCCTCACTCCTGCCCTTGAATCCAATTTGTCCGAATGTAAGGTAGAGGAACAATCCCAAATGCCATGTTACCAGGCATAACCTGCGCTCATTTTATACAAAGAATCTCATGTCATTTGCAAAATTCAGAAACTCACAAAAGATAAAATTTCATTACATACTTCATTCACAGGATGTAGCAGTATGTTTCTACCCAAATAAAAATGATTTTTTTTCCCAAAATAATCACCAAGAGATTGCAAATTACATCCAGCAATGGCGTGTTTATTACGTAGCCATCGAGGAAGTAGTATGCACCTTCATGGCAATATACTTCTCAATCACAAAGAGGGCGTACGACAATGCTTACTCTATGAGGAAGTTTCACTTTCTTCAAACTGAAACTCCTAGTCGTCCTGTTCAGAATAAGCCCCAAAAATTTTTAGACAAGGGAAATTATACCCAAATAAAAAAAGAAAAGAGTTGATGAATAAGAAATGGCCTCGTGTGAAATTAAGGAAGAGGAAAATAAACGGGAAAAAGAGAGGTTTCTCACGTACGGTCGGCTCCCTTGATTCTTCGTTCGTCACGAAGTACCGTAGATGTCTAATGCTGGTGTGGTAGCTGAGGAGAGGTTTCTTACGTACGGGCGCCTCCTTTGATTCTGCCACTTCAGTGTGAATCCGAATTTTTGGGATGTGACTAATTTCTTCACAAGGACCCCTTACCTGCTTGACGATCACTTCATCCATAATACCACCAATATAAAGAAGTTGGAGCTTGGTCAAGTATTTAACTCCCCAAGGCAATTCCTTTAGTGATTCGAGGGATATGATAGATAGCTCTCTAAGATTCGGCATTGCATCTTTGTTGATCCTCAATTCTCTCAAATTGTATAAGCGCCAAAGGATCAAATTCTCGAGCTTCAGGAAGCATCCAGCTTTGAAACACAAACTCTTCCCATCAAAAGCTTTATACAAGAAAAGCGATCGCAAATTTGGCAAGCACTGAAGATATTCAAGCGGATCGACCATTAACCGGCTCCAACCCAACTCTATTGAGGTCAATTCCTGTAACGAAGATATTATTTTCGGAACATTTCGTAGTTGGCTCCACAAAGATAACACTTGAAGGTTTAGGAGACCTGAATGCACCACAAGGTTCATATCATCCAAATCAAGCATCTCGTCATCCTTTATTGCTCGGAGACATAAATCCTCGAGATTGGAGAGCTTCCCAAGAGAAGAGCAGAGTTGTTTTCCATCTTGCTGTCTCAGGCTCTTGATCCCTAATACCTTCAAGTGCTTAAGCTCTCCTATCTCTCTTATCAATATTTCATTTGCTTCTATGTGGCATAACCACTCTAGACAAGACAACTTCACAATACCTTTTGGACCTTTAAATCCATTGAGGACAAACGTAGAATCAGAAGGCTTATCAAAAACAATCAAATGAATGAGTCCTTCTATCTTCAGAATTTCATTAGGCAACTCACGCACATTTGTGTACGATAGATCCAAGAACTCCAGATTCTTTAAGTGGCCAATAGCCTTTGGAATGTCTTTCACTCTAGTGCCTTTTAGGTTTAAAGTTTTCAGATGGTATAACTTGAAGACTTCTTCTGGGATTTCCTCCAACTGTGTGCCTCCCAAATCTAATACCTTCAATAGCCTGGAGCTACCACGAAGTAGCTTAGATAAAATTGATGTCGGTAACGGTTCCACAGACTTGAAGATTACCATCGAACGCAGATACTTGAAATGACCTCTAGATTCTGCGGCAAACTTGAAATCATGGATTGCTAGACGCCTAATTTTCTTTGGCCACCTCTGTTTTCCTGTTGCCATAATTGCAAAGTTGCGTCTACTCGCCTTTGAAAGAATAATTTCTCTCAGAATGTCATGAATATGATACATTCGCCCACTTGCATCATAAGACCCTCTAACTATCTGAATCAAGCTTCTGTTGATAAGTTCATGAAGATAAGCTCGAGCAACGTCATACGTAGACATCCCTGTCTTCTCCATCACAAATCCTTCGGAAATCCAAAATCGAATCAGCCTCGATTCTCTTATCTTGTAATCCTCTGGGAAAATACTTGCATACAACAAACAAGTCTTCAGATGGTCTGGAAGCTCATTGTAACTAAGGGAGAGTATACTTTTAATATTATCCAACTTACCCTTAATCACCACTTCACCACCAAGGCTATGCTGAACCATCTTCCACTCATCAATTCTGCTTCTGTCTTTCAAAGCCAACACACCACCAATCGTTACAATTGCGAGTGGTAGCCCCTCACATTTTTTCATTATTCGTAGAGCAACTTTCTTCAGATGAATTGGGCAACAACTGTCTTTGAAGGTTCTCTTGCAGAAAAGAATCCACGAGTCCTCCTGAGACAACGACTGCATTTTATGGACATAAGTGCTAAATTCAACAGATGAGGCGTAAGCAATATCTTCAATTCGGGTAGTGAGCATCACCCGGTTTCGGTTAACCTTATCGGGCAATGCCCATTTAATACCATCCCAAAATTTGATGTCCCAAACATCATCGAACACAATTAGAAACCTCTTGTCTTTCAGGAAGCCTTTGACAAACAATTTCAGCTGATCGGTGCTCATAAGAGAGGCCACTTCACGAGGAACAGGTTTCCGAATCTCCTGAAATAGTTGGTGAATCAATTCTTTAAGCACTTCCAGCATATCATAAGTTTGGGATACTGATATCCAGACAATGACCTCGAATTCACTTCCGACGTCTTGTTGGATTTTCTTAACCAGCGTAGTTTTACCCAATCCTCCCATTCCGAAAATTGAAACAACTTTAAGGCGGGGATCATGATCAAGGAGTTCAGAAATGAGCTGTTGCTTTGGGGAATCAATACCAACCAGATTTGCTTCTTCTACAAGAAGGGCATCGTCTCGACAGTCGCGCCATAAGTTGTTCACGGCCGAAGGATAAGTTGATGGTGCCTGGTTAGGAGTACCATAATAAGTTTGGTATCTCTTGTGACCTTCACAGATACTTTTGATTCTAGACTTCATGCCTTCAATCTCGTGAGCAATCTGGTGTCGCGCTCGTAGACTCTTCATCGACCCAAAAATCTTTTGAGCAAGTCCACAAAACTTAACTCCATCCTGGTGATTGCAACGCAACCTAAATTCATCGACAATATCTTCAATGTCATAAGCAGCGTCCTGCACTTGTGAAATCCATACCTGCAGCCTAGGATCTTCTTCCTCCTCTATGCCTTCTGCAAACATCAGGAAAGCTTTCATATGCTCAAGTTCGTTTACAATACCCTGAATCTCAAGTCCAAGCTCTCTTAACAATTTTGCCTCTTCAACAATGAAGGTAGAGAGCTGATTTAACACGGAAGAGACCACCCCCACACTCATTCTTTTTAGGGGAATCTTTGTCCCTTCCAAAAAAGAGTGTGATTGGTTTGTTGACTTGCTTTTGGAAACTTAGGGCAAAGAAGAAGCTGATCCGCTCTGTCATAGTAGTCATATAAATGGAAATCTTAGTAGAATGAGGTCATCAATTAAAATTAACGATTATTTGTCATCATGCTTTAAGTAATAACGTGAGCAATTAGAACGTGTGTATTTGGAATTACTGTTTGGAGAATTTGTTTGCGATGCGATAGTACTAAACCTAATGTGACTCACAGAGTGAATTTGAGGAAAAAAAAAAAAAAAAAAACCAACATGCATCCTCTCTTTCCCGTAAAACTTATTCACATTGTAAATTGTGAATGTTATTTCCTCAGGTCCTTATTATAGGGGATTTTAATTTCTCTTAAGTTTCGTTATAGTATTTATCCAATTGGAAATGAAATCTTAAAAATGCTTTATAATAATTGGGAGAACACTAAAGGGGATGATTATTGATGAATAAATTTACTAAGCAATACTTTATAATTGGGAGAATACAATTAATATGAAAATTATATTTTAAACTTTTAATTTTAATTAAAAGAACACAATAACTGAAAGTTTGGACAAATCAAAATGCTTTATAACAAAAAAGATGGGAGGGAGTAGTTAGTAGTGGAGCTAAAAAAAGAAAGAAAAATCACTAGAGCACATTAATCATTGAGTCAACTCACATAACAAATTTTTTTTTTTAAAAAAAAAACTATAACTGAAAGGCTGAAACAAAACATCAAAGCTCAAAATTCGTAAAATGATCACTGTAATTATTCAGTATTTACTTTCTGTCAATCATATTTGATGTACTTAGTAGTGTAACTGTGCAGATTATTTTTGCCAATAGAAGTTGAAAAAGATTAAATAAAATAAATTGTGCGGTGGTGATCGTTGTGGTGGCGGTAATGCCGGTGAAAGTTGAAAATTTACGATCAACTCATGAAAAAAGATAAAATCATTATTAAAAATACAAATAAGTAACCATTTTCCCATCATTAATTAGTATCTCATTTCTTTTAAAACACGTCTTTGGTCCAAAATTCTTAAAAATTCTATCCATCTCCAACCATATTAAGGGAGGTAAAGGCCAGTCAACTACGGCAACTATCCAAGGCGGTGTTGCAGCTGGGCTACGGCCAACTATCTAAAAATTGACAACTTGATCAGAGTTTTTTGTGGGAAAAACAATTTGGAATTTATAAACTTAAAGACACAAAAAAACAATTTGGAAATTATAAACTTAAAAAAGCACAAACCCATTAAGCCACCAAAAAGAAATTATTCCATACCTTACCTTGAACTTGGAAATGAAATCAAGGAAAAGGAGCAAAAGGTATTGAGAGATTGCTGCTCGAGATTGATCAGCTCCTTTAAACCAGCAGGAAAGCAGGAAAAATAGAGAAAGAAATTAAAAGGGACACAAAAAATATATGGGTAAACGCAACAATAATAATCATAAACAAGTAATTAAGAGAAGAACTAGAGAAGTACTAACAAACAAGAAAAACTTGAGGATCTAAGCGGCTTTCTCTTCAATTCTCTGCTCGTATTCTCTATTCACGCGGATAGATTCTTGATGAGATTTCCACGAAAGATCATATTCAATTACAAGCTTATAAGGTCACATATAGAAAAGAAAAGGATGACTTTCAACACAAACGTAGTCTTTGTTTATTATTTCCTTGACGAATTATAAGAATATTTCCAATATATATACACTAATATGATTATCTTGATTGTTATAATACAAGTAGTATTTTTTCTATACCACAAAGATAGTTTACATTATTAAATTAAAATAAGAAAATAAATTGTTCTATTTTTGTGAGACTGAAAGAGTAATTTCATTTTCTTCTGGTATTAGATGAATTTTTAATTTCTTTTTTCTTTCACCTGTCACTAGTGGAGACACACTTTTACTCTCGGAAAAATTAAATATATAGTCTCTATTCTCAAAAAAAATAAAGTTCATATTGAGTTTTTTAAATTTGTAATTTGCGGAACAAATTTTAAAATTACAATAATACAAATCTTCAAAACCAATGTGAATTATTTTTCTAAAATAGAGAGAACATCATTTTTTGGCACAAAAAAATATAAGTCTATAATGAAACAATTATGTTATTCTGAGTACATTATATAATTAAACTAAAAGGCCACAAACCATCAACTATAAGAGTGAAATACACAAAATAATAAACTATCCCAATCCAACAACAGCATATCCGTATATCTCAACACTCCATTGAATTAAAATAAAATAACAAAATCAATTTTTTTCTTTTTCCACGAAAGGGATATATCTGGAGCAAACCTTTTGACTTTGTATATGGTGTAAAGCCTTGTTCTGCGCGTCAATTCCATGAACCTTCGTTGACGTCCCAACTTATGAATGGTTCCAAACAAAAAAAAAAAATAAAGAAAGAAAAGGAAATAGTAAGAAAGAAGAAAGAAGAAGAAGAAGTAAGCAATTAAACATTCTCTCCGTCACGTACTGTCCAATTGAATTTTTATTTTCAGATTGGGACAGAGGAAATGGTAATAAAAGAAAAACTACTCCCTCCTCCGGAGAATATACAGCATAGTGAAACTCCGAAAATTAAAATGGGCGAATTATAATTGACCCCAGAATTTTAGCTAGATGTACAACACACCCCTTCGAGTTTATTATATAATCACAAAAGAACGGAAATCCTACAAAAATCAGGAAACACGGTTGAAAACGGATTAAAACTTAAAACTCACTAGTCCCACAAGCATATTTGGTGTAGAGCACATCAGAATGGGATCCATATTCCAATTTCACATTCAAATCTAGAGAAGGGTTCTTCTCCCAATAGAAAGAAAATCGATGAATCGATAGAAGAAAGCCTTTTTGGGAGCGTAGGAGGAGAAGGCGGATGGAGAACCGTGCCAGCGGAGAAGGGAGGGGATTGACCGTTAATTTCGAAATGATTCGTAGTGTGAATGATGAGTGGATGCTTTGATTTGCAAAGGCCTTTCTTATTTAAGTCGAATTGCGTTGGGCTTCCCCCAAAGTTTGTAAAAAGTTGTAATTGTCCACCAAAATTGGGAAATTGCACAAAAGAAAATATTATTCCCTCCGTCCCAAAAAAATAGTATACATTGAATTTTGAGTTTTGTAATATTTTTAATACAAATTTGCAAACTCAATGTGGACTATTTTTTTGGGAAAGAGGTAGTACTAATTACAGATTTTGTCCAACAATAATGGCTCTATCATTATAGCTGCTTTACCTTTTATAAACAAACTATCAAATTGAAGTTGAGGGCTTTTATCGTTGTTTTAGTTTATAGACGAAACAATCAAATTGAAATGAAGATGATATATACATATAATTTTTAACTTTAAACCATCAAAATAGTTTGCCTAGTCAAACCAAGGACCTTAAATTTCATTTCTATGCTTTAATTTCACAGCAATGAAAAGTTTCATTAAGAGGAGATAATTAGCAAGATGAAGAAGAAAGTAAATTAAGTTCAGATCAGATGGGTCTGAATATTGATAATATACACATGAAAATCACATGAAGATCATCTTAAAAGTATTCCTCACTCCTGCCCTTGAATCCAATTTGTCCGAATGTAAGGCAGAGGAACAAGCCCAAGTGCCATGTTACCAGCCACAACCTGCTCATTAGAGAATCTCATGTCATTTGCTGAAATTCAGAAACTCACGAAACAAGAAATTTCATTACATATAACACAACACTATAATCAAAACTCATTAAGTCATTGAGGGCCTAAACCAGCAAGTTCAATTTCATCCATTTGATCCAATGGCTGGCTCATTTGGACTTCAGGCTTAATTACATGAAGGAAGGGACTAGCATGTACTAAATGATCAAGCCGACATAATTTACTACACTAAAAATCAAGATCCTAAGAAAGGCTTTTGATTTTAATCCCAACACTTTTCTCCAAGATAATTCTGTTGATTAAGGATACATAAAAAAAAAATTAAAAGGAAAAAATGGGTGTTAAAAAATTGTGATGAACTCACCAGAACTGAGAAGTGAGAGCAGGGGGAGTTGGGAAATGAGCAAGTTCAGTCCCAATGCTCTCAAAGAAAAGCCCAGTTAAGCTTTTGCCACCGATGATTGGAACGCTAGATGGTGCAATCCATCCAATTAGTCCAAATCCAATCACATTCAAGTCTGTCCTCAGCCAGTCTCCCTGAAAGCTTCAATCAAATTGTACAAAAAAATCAAGATCCATTAGCCCATACAATCCAAACGCCCTCTTAATCTGTATCAACTGTGTCTCATTTTACTAGCGTTAGTTTTCATTCGAGTTGAATGCTTACCAAGTAAACCTCCCTCCTGATGCTTTTGTAAGGGCCAAAGGGTTCCTAGCAGTCACTGAAGATCTCAAAAAACCTGCGCAATTGATGAAGATCATTGAAATAAATTGGTTATAAATCTAGCTAATTTTGTATATTTGAAAAATGAAAATTAATAAAAGGACTAATGTTGGTACCTGATGAGAGGGATACTCTCTTTGGAGATGGAGATGACAATGAGGATGAGCCCAATCCAACCACAGTTGAGGCAGTAGCAAATGTGGCAGCCATTTTTCTATCCTGATTTGAGCTTGAATTGAACCCAAATGTTGTTTTTGATTTGGTGAATCAATCAGCAATTCTACAAAATTTTGGTGTATACAGATTATATGTGATTGGCAATTTGTATGTGGTGTTTGAGTAGATTTTTGGAGTGAGTCATAGATTACATAGGTGGCTGGCTGATCAATGACATTTTGCCATGTGGATTTTAGTGGATAACATGGAGCCTGAATGGGATTGACTTGTATCACAAAACCCACCTTTCAGTCTCTCTAGTCCACAAAAATCGTGCCCCACAGTTTCGAATTGGGCCCAATTTTGATATCTTTGTGTTGATCAAATAACACACTGAAAATAAGTGTGCATTATTTTTGTACAAAAA